GGGCCATGCCTGAGACCTCTCACAGGAGGGACCCCCACCTGCTACCCCCCACCACCCTACATCTCCCCCCCCCCCAGATCCTAGGGCCCCGGGTGTCTGTGTGCATCTTGGGGACGCAGGGATGGCATAGGGGAGGTGTTCTAAGTGAGAAGGTGTTCGGGCGTTCCCTGTCCCCCGCAGCACCTTTCCTGGCTGCACTTGGAGTCCCGGTGGTTGAGTGTGAGAGAGGGCAGGAGCGCAGTCCAGAAGGGAGTGGGCCCCTTCAGGGGCAGCTAGATGTCCCTCAGTTGCTCCTAGTGGCAGCGTGCCCCACAGCGGCCAGGCGCCCCCTCGCCTCAATGGACCGCGACTTCAGGGTCCCCGGGCCACCAGGGCGTGTTTCCTGGTGGCTGGGCAGTTGAGGGGGGCGGGGTTGCAGGGCAGGATTCCCCAGACAGGGCAGAGTGTCGCAATGTCCCGGCGGTGGTCCCTCTGCCCGAGTTGAGTTGGGTGCCAGTCTGGAAGCCAAGGGGCCTCTTGGCTTGAAGGGACAGGTGGGCATGTGTCCTGGGTTCCCAGGGGTGGACCCTAGAAGGAGCGCCTGAGCCTCGGGCATGTGAGCCCTCTGGGGCCAGGCGCCGGCTCTCTGAAGGGGGAGGCAAGGAGGCGAAGAACCGCACACTGGCTTCCGGAGGGCAGGACGGGGCGCCTCTGCTTGTGTGCCCGCGCCCACAGGCACACAGTCAGCTGAGGAAAGAGAGTCTGGCCCTTCCTGGAAAAGGAGACTTGGGCTCTCTGGCTCCAGGGCCTGGGTGGGCCTCTCCAGAAGGAGCAGGACCCAGCCATAGCCTGGACTGGCGGGGAGGTGGGGGGAAAGTGGGAGGGGGTGCGGGCAGTGGGGCGAGGGTGGCCAGGGCATTGGTGATGGGCTCTGGCTTCCCTGGGGTGGGCCTCCAGGGGTCTCTCGGTCTGTTCTGAACTCCCCTGGGAGCCTTCCATGGCCTGGGTCCAGCTGAGGGCTGATGGGGTCCTGGGCCAGGGAGACAAGAGATTCTCAGGCTGGGGTGCAGAGCAGCGAGGAGAAGTACAGAAGGGAGGGAGGGATGTGGAGAGAGAAGAGGGGGGCACGGGGTGTCGGGAGGTGGAGTGGGGTAGTGGGGGAGAGGACAAGAGAGGGAGAGGGAGAGGCAGGTAGGCAGGCAGTTAGTGGTGGTGGTGGTAAGAAGACAGAGCCCTCGGCTTCTGCCTGGGCTGTCCAGCTCAGCCGTGGTGGCGTTCAAACAGGAGGCCTCTGGGGGTCCAGGTGGTGGGGCCAGTGGGAGTTGGCGAGGAGGACCCACTGAGAGGAGGCTGGCCTGGAGGTGGCGGAGTCCCTGTGCGGGTGTGTCCCTGTGTGCCTGTGCGCGCGTGCGTGCATGTGTGTGTGTGTGAGTGCCTGCCTGTCCCCGGGGTGTACCCGGGTGCCCTCCTAAGGGACATCCATTTGGACCATTGGAGGTGGGGTAGGGAGAGACCAAGCCCTCAGTGTGGACATGGGCCCCGGGGAAACAAAGTTCCAGCACACACTGGCTCCTGTGGGTGTCCATGTCCGTGCCCGTCCTGGAGCCCGAGGTGGAAGCAGCCACGGAGTGCTCCCTGCCACTGTCCCAGGCACAATGGTAAAGCCGGAGCGGAGGGCAGGCGGAGAGGCCTTGGTCGCAACCTGGGCTTCCGGAAGCCCAGCAGCCCAGCCTTTCCCCGAGGACTCCCCAAGCAGCCGGTGCCAGGCCAGGAGGGGAAGCCACGGAGGCGCCCCCGCCGGCCAGGCGCACTGGCTGGGGCATCTGGGGGTGGGTGGGGGGAATCCTCCGGCCTCCCTGCCTGCAGGCGGCAGGAGGGGAGAAG